CCTTCCTTTGTTAATGAGCCTATTGGGGACCCCCTTGCCTATGAAGATTTTTATGTCCCTCATTCGTCTTCAATTGAGGAAAAGGGTGATTTTGCCACCCAAAAAGATTTTTGTGAAGAGAGTTTGCCTTTCTATTCTTCTTCTTATTTTCTTGAATTTTCTTTTGATTCTTCTTCTTCTTGGAAACTCCCTCTTCACCTTCTTTTGCGTGCACTAATCTTGGTGCATGCCCTTCTTATATCATTTGCTTACTTGTTATCTTATGAGATGTGTAGTAGTGCATTTGACAAGCTCTTGCGATCGTTGCAATATTATTTACTAGAGCGGTCAAGCTTGGACCTTAAGCAAGCCTTTCTCGGGAAGTAACCCGTGTTTTATTGCTTTCATTTTCTTTTCTTTTTAGAATAGATTTTCTCTCATGGAAATGTTTGTGTGCCTTTTTCTAGGTACATAACTTGATATACTTTGGTGCATTGATTTGGATCAAGAATCAAGGAAGTTTGGCACCACAATTGCTATCATATGGAAAACAAGATTCAATTCTTGAGAAGAGTGGCTTTGAAAATTTTAATTGGGTCATTTGCGGGTATATACACCCACCTAAAATCCGGTAATATCCTTCCTTGCTCTTCCTCTAATGATTTGTGACTTGTTGGACATATGTTGGTTGGTTGGATGACTTTCTTTCTTTTCTCCTCCCATGGATTCTTTGGTTTAAAGTTTGAGCATGTTGCCTCATTCAAACTTGGGGGAGGGTATTCTATCATGTTTGGTGGAATTTTGATTCATATATGCCATGCACATTTGTATATGCATTTCCATTTTCTTTATTTTGAAAATTCCAAAAAGATTTTGTTTCTATCAAGGCAAATTTGCAATGTGTTTTCTTTTGTTCTTGCTTTGGACATAATACTTTTGGACTTGTATTCTTGAATGTCTTTCTTCCTAAATTTTAGAGGTGTGCACGGTTTGAGAATGTGTTAGGTTGACTCTAGGATATGGTATGCTAAGGTAGTTGGCTAAGAACTTTGGGACCATGAAGCTCTAGTTCACTTGCTTGTGGTAAGATGGAGTTGCTCTCTATAGTGGATATGAAATCAAGAGTTAGTTATTGCTATCCCTAGTGATGTATAATTGTTCTAGCCTTCATCATACTTTGTTGAACAATTGGATTAAAGAATAGAAATGAAATATTGAGTTTTTTTTTTAATAATCAGCCTACTTTCTCACAACCAACTCCTCTTACAAGGAGTACTTATTATGTTAAAACTCTAAAACTACTCTTCAATGGCCACTAATCCACCATCTTTCACAAATTTTACCAACCACTGTCATCCATCCGATTCTTTTGATACTCAGCCACCGTATTTGTCTGCGACACCGCCATCCACTGTTCGTGCAAGGTCCCTGCATTTTGCGGTCAGAACTGCTGTAGTAGGTGTCGCGTCAGGTCGTTCAAGCTCGCCCATGGTTGTCGGCAGTTTTCCCAATGGAACCAACGCCACCCATCCTCTTCCATCGCCACGGCCGCTGCTTGTAACCTCTCGCCCTCCTTCAAACAGAGTGAGAAATAATGTTCTGCCCTCGAAACCCACTCATCCGGGTCCCCACCGTTGAAGACCGACATTTCTATCCTCCGATATTTCCCTCCATTTCTCCTTCCGTGGCTCCACTAATTCACCTCCACGTGTGTCTCACTGGCAAAATCGTTATTTTCTGGGATCGAGCTGTTTGAATATGGTGGAGTTTTATGTTTCACCAAGTTTCGGATCTCAGTCTTAAACTGATCCATTTGCCTCTCCGGGTACCCGGTTTTGGCACCGGTTTCCAACGGTTTCGGTTCCGGATCTCAAATGTTGGGACCCGATTGTTACCAGTTTCGATTCTAGTTCCAAAATCCTAGACCCGGTATTAGTCGGTTTCGGGACCGGGTATTTGGTTTTACACCGGGTACCCGGAAGTGCTCACCTCTAATACTCCTTATGATATACTTTTGTACTCCCTCCATTTTTAAATACTTACTCCACTTTAGATTTTCGGCCGTTTTTAAATATTTGTTTCATTTCCTTATTTGGAAAGTTTTTATAATATTTAATTAATTTTTTCCACCTAGTGGACCCAACATAAATCATATTTTATTAATTTCATATTCTCTCTTCAATTCTCTCTACTACTTTTGCTTTATACAATTTTTATTCTTCCACCCACCCCACTACCTCCATATTTTATTACTTATCCAATTCTCCTAAAACTCCGCGCATGAATAAATTAGGCAAGTATTTAACAACGGAGGGGGTATTTATTTATGTGTGTCACGTGAGAGTTAATCGTCCGCCTACATTATAAGAGTCATTTGCATTATTAAATCTTAGATTATGAGAGTGATCATGTTACGAGTGTAAGTTTTTTTTTTTAATTTTTTTTATTGTATATATTCCAATAAGAAGTTTCTTAAAATAAGAAGAATGGGAAGGGTTAAATGTGCATATATTTTGAACTAAATGTGCATAAATTTTATACTAAATGTATGTGCGTTATTTATTTTTGACCTTTTACTTTTTTTCAAGTTTCTGGGAAAACAAAAATTTATGCACATTATGCACAAAAAATATGCATATTTAATTTCGATCAAATTTTTTTTGCACATTTTATTCAAAAAATATGTACGTTTAGTGGAAAAATCATGCACATTAAATCCTTCTCATTCTAAGAATCTTCTCATTTGACCCTATATATATATATATATATATAGGGAATTGTTAGAATGAGAAATGAGATAATGAAAAAGCTAATAATATCCTAAGAGCATTCCCAACAGTGAGGAAAAACTCCTCACGAGGAGAAATAAGGATTGAAAAAGAAAAAAAATGCTTCACACTAGTGAAGAGTTTTAATTCTCCTCATGAGGAGAACAAGAACTCCTCAAGTCCTGAGGAGTTCTAGAAATGAATAGTGCAGCAGCGGACTCCAATAAAAAATGCTAAGAGTAATTTTATAATGACTATAAATCATATTTAATTTATTTTTAAAATAAAAAAAGTTTACCCAAGATCATAAATTTTTTTCTCTATTAATAGACATCCATTTTCATATATTTCGACATATTTTCAAAAACAAAAAAATATCCTATATTCATTAATCACTCAATTAAATTTAAAACGTACGTAATTTACAAAGCTAAAAAAATAAAAACTTATGAATTAAATTACATTTTATTTGTATTGGAAAGTTAAATATGCACTATAAACATTATTAAAAAATAAAGAGAAAATAAAAAAAGGTGATGTGTATTATGATAGAGTATAGTAAATAGTGGAGGAAAAATGGATGATGAGTTTTTTTTTTTTTTTTTTTTGAGCATTGATGTTCCTCTTATAAGAGAAATTAGATGGGAAGAGTGAAAAAATGGGTAGAGAGAGATTGAGAGATTTTTATCTCCTCACTACTGAAAATGGTTTAACACATGTCATTGTCTTAACCCAAAAACATATGGAAAAACTGGAATACGGGAAGAACAATTAAAAAAATAGGAATATCATATGTATATGGGAATTAGGAATTAAATTAAAGTGTACAAGTTAGTTCTAAGCTTGTTGATTAACAAAACTTATATAATGAACTTTGCATAGAAAAAATTGAAAAGAATAATCCCACCACCTTTGTAACTTTTGCTCAAAACAATTCCACTTTTGAATAATCTGGAAATATAAAAATGAATCTCTTTTCCTACAGCCTGTTTAACCGATTATTTTAAGGTTTTTTTTATTTTTTTTTGAAACCTCTCCTCCCACCTTTTATGGCAACCATTGTCACGATCACCACCCGTACCCTCACCACTCTTCTCACCTGTTTTGGACACCCCACCACCTGACCACCATGACCCCCTCACCATGACAACTCGGTCTGTTCTCGTGATCCGATTCTTCACTCACTACTCTCTCTCTTTATGATATTGTTATTTTTAATAAATTCTAGAAAATTACTCAGTAAGACTAAATTTTGATGAACACCCATTTGGCCATTTCAATTGGGTTTGAGATTCGATTTGGGTTTCAATTGTTTTTAAAAAAACGAAATGTATTGTGGATGGCAAAAACAAGGGTAGTTTTAGAAAAAGATACAATTACGGTAATGAACTGAAAAAAGGGCTTAGATTTATTAGTTAAAACAATATTAGAAGATCACATTAATTATCTTAATTATAAATTTATAATGATAGTAATGATGATTATTGTGTTTCCAATTCAAATAGTTCGTATTCTTCATCTGTGTTGAGCTGCGAAATGCGGTTGGTGGTTGAATTGGTGTGATGGAGTTGTGTGGGGCGTAGTGGTGCTTGGGGTGGTGGTGGAGCGTGGGGTGTGGGACTTCCTACAATGGGCGGTGAGCCTAGCGGGAAAGGGGATGAGAACTGTATAGGCAGAGGATCAGGAAAGGGGTCCGGTAAGGTTGATTGAGGTTGGGGAAAAAAAGAAGGGGAAACGGTTTTTAATTTTGTTTTGTTTTTTTTTTTATTATTAGTTTTAAATATTAAAAAAATACGACGAATTAGAAGGTGATACGTGGCAAGTCACCTTCTAAAATCGGTCACCAAGTTAATAAACCACAGTTATGAGCTATTTTGAAAAGATAGTGGGTAAAGGTGAGATTATTTTCAGATTATTTAAAGACGGAATTATTTTGAATAAAAGTGACAAAATTGGGATTATTCTTTTCAATTATTACCCTTGCATATTCTTCAACCTTGTACATTAGACGAATGTTATAACATATTTATCGTAATAATTCCTCTACGTCTTTTTTCACCATACCTTCAAAATATAAATTTATAATTTTATAATCATATGTTTATTTTATTTTTTTATATAATGTACATTATGATGATCCTTTGACCTTTGCATATACTCGGTGAGTAAATTGGGTGTCCTCCATATTCTACTAAAAATGCACTAGTTAAATTCTCAACATGGTAGATGATTTTATTGTAACAGGGAAAAAAAATGTCGTCAGATATTGTTGGTGAGATTGCAACGAATCTAAGTGAGCCAGTGTTAGATAAAATAAAGGAGGTTTACAATTACATCCGACGGTATGAAGAGAATGTGATTAATCTTTAAGAAAAAGTAGATGAACTGAAAAGCCATTGGATTGAGATTAAAGAGAGAAAGAAGCAGGGGGAACTAAAGGGAGAAGTATTGAACCAAGTAGCTAAAAATTGGCTTGGGAAGACGGAAGAGTTGCTGAAAAAAGATAATAAACTAAAGAAGCTTGTGAATGAAGGATATAGAAAACAGAAAGATCAATGCTGCTTTGGAACCTGCCAAATCAATCCACATTTTAGGTATAAGTGCAGCAAATATGCTAAAGATAAAGCCACATTACTCCATGATCAAAGTGATAAAGTTCCTAAAGATGCAGTGACTCGACCTCTATTTGTTGAAGAGGTCAAATCTTTTATTGATGGGTATAAGAATTGTGGCTTGCAATCCAGAAAGCAGGTTATGGATAATGTGATTGGGAAGTTACAAGATGCTCAAGTTAAGTATATTGCTATATATGGCGAGGAGAATGTAGGTAAGTTCTATTACCGGGTACATACAGTAACATTTTTTTTTTAACAGATATGCATCATCCTGTTTCCTTAAGTGTGCATCAGTTTAACTTTGACACTAATTACATATTTATTTATTAGTGTAATTAACAAAATTTTTAAATAATGTGTTGTTAGACTTGTCTAATTCCAAGACATCAATTTCTTACCACTTTTTCTAATAGAAAATTAAACATTTTAGTAGTAGTCTAAGTTGTGCATTTGCAAAAGAGTGAGTCCCAGTTTCTCTTCATGAAAAACACTTTTGTTTCTCATAATGACATTTTGGAAAAATAATGTGATATTTTTCACTGGTGGGAACCTGCATTGTAAACGCGGTGGTTAAACAATTACAATTCTAAGGAAACATAAGAAACACTCGTTCATAATTCAAGTTTTGTAAGAGCATGTTCTATTTACCTTATTTTTAGTCTAAGAAGTTAAGATAAGTTAAGTTAAGGTTTCGTTCACATCACCTTATTTTTGCTGAACTGAAATTATTTTTATTGAACTAATATTATATTTGCTGAACTTAAACTATTTTTACAGAACTGAAATTATATTTGCTAAACTTAAATTGTTTTTATTGGCCTGAAATTAATTTTACTAAACTGAAATTTTTTTTGCTGAAATGAATTTTTTTTTCCTGATTTTCTATTATATTTCTTCTTTAAAGATGATTAATTTTACTGAACTAGACTTATTTTTATTGAAATGAAATTATTTTTACTGAACTGAACTTATTTTTACTAGACTAGAATTATTTTTACTAAACTGAATTTATTTTTACTGAAGTGAAATTATTTTTGCTTCATATTATTTTTTTAAGGTGAAGTGAACAGGGTCTAAGATAAGTTCAGATTAGGAAAAATAAGTTCAATTAAAAAAAGTAAGTTATGAGAAATGTTATTGAAGTTCAAATTACAATTAAAATAAATTTTAGTAAGTTCAAATAAGTGATCAAAATCAGGTATATATACTAGGTGTTATCTTTTTAGATATGGAGTACATGAATTTATTAGATTAATTACTATACCACCTTTCTATTTTTTTAAGTCACATTTTGACCTTTTTTTTTTTTTTGCACTATATACATATTTGTATTGACTTAATTTTTTTCTTTTACTAATATTAGCTTTGACTTACCCTAAAATCCGAGACTTACCACGCATCCGTATACTTATACTAATTAATAATAGTCTATGGTTTACGTGACACAGGCAAAACAAGGTTGATGGATGAAATAACCAGAAAATTCGGGTGGTCTGGTACAGAAGATTATCGTTGTTTTAAACATCCGATCAATGTAGGAAGAAAAAGTATTAAAGACATTGAAATTAATTTCGAGGACATAATAAACCTTGTACGACAAATAAATTCAACTGATATAAAACACATCGTATTTTTGGATGGAATCTGGGAGAAATTTGATCTTCAAAGAACGGGGATAGCAGAACTTTCATGTGTCAAGATTTTGATGACAAGTAGGGAGAAGAGCTTGTGTAAAGAGATGGGTGTGGAGGATTGCAATATGTTTGAATTGGGGCGGTTGAGTGAAGATGAAGCTAGGAATTTGTTCTGGTCTAAGGTTTCTTTTAAGGAAAACATCGTAATCAGTGAGGAGTATCTACGCGTTGCGGATAAAGTGGTGAATAAGTGTGGAGGTTTACCTCTTCCAGTCGTAACAATAGCGGCGGTGCTCAGTGGTAATACTCTGCTATACTGGGAACGTTTTATTGAAAAGCTAGAAAGTGGATCACCTAGTATTGGTGGGAGTATCAGTCAGCAACAACTAGTTTGTGGTGGGCATGATGATGATGATGATCATGATCATGAATACTTGTCTATTTTGGAAACAAGTTACCTGCTTTTGAGTACCCAAGAAAGAATGATGTTTTTGCTTTGTTGTCTCTTTCCCTCGGTTGCAGTCGGTGTACCTGATCTGATGAGATGTGCCATTGGGTTAGGTTTGATTCAATGTGTCGACACTCTTTTGGAAGCTGAAGCGCTAGTTCGTAAATGGATTAACAGACTTGTTTCCTCAACTTTTGTCGAATATGTTGATGGCCAGCCCTGGTGTGTCAAGATTCCTGACCTTGTTCAAAGGTATGGTGCTTTAATATTAGCCAAAGGTAACAAATTAACCCTTATTTTGAAAAAGGAAAAAAAAAAACCTTAGTTAATACTTTTTTTTTTTTTTTTTTTTTTATTTTATACTCCGTATTTCATATCATATAACCTATCTAAATTAATGGGTATAGCCTAATATTATGTAACTAAAGAGGCATTTCTTTTAATGCGTCATATAATAAGTAAGAGACTAATTTCAACCAATAAAAAAGAGATTTATATTTTATTATAAAATTAAAAAATTAAAAAATTATATCGTCATATAAACAATTAATTAACGAATGACATGTGAGAATTTAATCTCAAACAAATAAACTTAGGGAAGCTAACAAATATTTTTTCCTAAAAAAAGAAGATAACTAATAATTAAAAATTTGCACATTTTAAAATTTGTTCATTTGAAGTAGGGATGTCAACGGGGCGGAATGGGGTGGATGTTGTTTTTCCCATCCCCATTGTCCCCGCCTAACATACTCATCCTAGCCCATCCCCATCCCTAGCCCTGCGACAGATTCAAAATTCATCTCCAATTCCGCTCCGGCGGATTTTACTCTCACAAACACTCTAATTAGGACTTTTAGAGTCGCCTGTGTATGAAGTGCAACTCATAAACCTATTAAGTTGCCTCATACATACTAGGCAACTTGTTAGTTGCTTTATTGTCTTTTACTCTACATTTGACATACTTGACTACCACATAATAAGTCGCTAGCTAATACGTATGACGTGACTCGATAGGTTTAGAGTTATTATTTATTTTAAATAATTACAATCTCATATGTAAAAAGTAACTTTAGCTAATTAAATAGGACGAAATTCAATGTTTCATGCAAAAGAACCAAATATCAACCATGGTAGGTAGCATAAAAATTAACATTATATGAGTTATATCAAATAGTGGGAAAATAGTGTGGAACGAAGTTTTAGATTAACTTATGGAGTTGCCTCTTCTAGTACAACGTACACGCGATCGAATAGATTAACATATAGAGTCGTCTAACTACTAATTAGCTAGTAGGCGACTTATTAAAAAAACTATCTAGTTGCCGGCTCATAAAATTATTTATGTACCGATAACACAATAGAGGTTTTTTTTTAATTTGTAGTAGTGCATAGACAATTTTGTATTTTATTCATTTTTCTTTTTTCCTAATATAAAAAATTTGTACCCAATCCCCTATTATACTACGCTAAAACAAGTGAGCATATATATCTCAACTAGTTAACAAGTTGCACAAACAAGTGTTGCGTGCCCTTACATAAAAAAAGTAGTATTGAGGAATAATAATGCATGCATGCAGGTGGCAATATGGTTATGGTAGAAGCTTTTCCTCGATGGTTGTTACCCGAGACTTGCCAAAAGTACTATGCCATATCTCTGATGTCACATGCCGATCATTCTCGATTGGATGGACTCAACTCCGACAAACTTCAAATTCTGATATTAGATAGGAGCCAACCTCGTGATCGATTTTCAGATGGTTTCTTTCAAGGGATGACAAATCTTAAGGTTTTGGTATTCAAAGGAATGAAGTTTACACCAGGGTTGCCGAATTCCATAAGAAAATTGAAGAGGAGTCTTAGAACGTTGCTCTTGGTGGAGTGTGAGTTGGGAAATATTACAGTAATTGGTGAGTTGACCAATCTTGTTGTTCTTAGTTTGAGTTTATCAAGTGTGGAGGAAATACCAGAGGCAATAGGGAGTCTTTGCAGTCTTCGTTTGTTGGATTGAAAAGGGAGGAATAGCAGCTAATGTCCTATCTAAGCTCTCTCTGTTGGAAGGACTTTATGCTCTTATACGTGGTGGGCCATGGAGATATATGAATGATGATTCTAAAAAGGGTGAATATTCATATTATGCCCGCATTGCTGAGTTGAAATATTTGAGCTTCCTAAAAGTACTTGAGTTACGTGTGGAATTCAATGATTGGGCAATTGATGATGATCAACTCCAATTTCTCAATAATCTCGATCACTTTTTTATATCTTTTGGACAATTTGGTTGGGCGCAAATTCCAACGATTGGGCGTAAATACCCTCGTGGATTACTTTTCAATTCCAACGATTCTTGGTCATCAATTGTAAAAGATAATGGAGTAAGAGTATTACTCGAGAAGACTCAATCTTTATGGGTAGTTCATATGGAGCTCCAACATATTAACGATGACATCCAGCAACAAGAAGAAGACGAAACCAAAATGCAGTTGAGTATTATTCACTTTCCCAATTTGATAGAGCTGTACGTTGATTTATGCCCAAAGATACAGTCTCTCTCATCTACACCTTTCAAGGCACCCAACTTGACTCATTTATATGTGAGTGATTGCGATAATATGAAATACATATTCATGGAGCATGATGCTGATCATCAACTGAATAATGCACAAGGAGATCCACATACAACTGTTACATTTCCTCGTTTGCAACAAATGTCCCTACGAGGTCTTCCGAAATTGGAAAGTGTAACAGGTTTAATCAAACGGGGTTCTGCCACCACTAATGATGATCATCAACCTGGACATCATATTCTTTTCAAAAATCATAAGGTACTTATTAATTAATACTTCAATTCGTATGTTAATATTTATGTATGTATGTCTTTATGTATAGTTTGTCTATTTTACCCGTAAAAAGTAGTTTTAATTTGTGCTCTAACATATTTATACTCCTATTATTATCTTATATATTGAATTCCAAATTAACCATTGAGTATATGTTATGTCAACTTGCAGACAATATTCCCATCGCTGGAACACTTGGAATTGGAATGGTGTGATAAAATTGTACAATTGTGGGAAGTGAATTGTAAGGAGATGAGTTACTATTCCAGCTTTAACAATTTGCAATTCTTATACATCGGGGAATGTAACAAACTTGAAACTTTGGGATCCCTCTCCATAGCAACTGCACTTGTACAACTACAAAAATTACACATACGCAACTGTCCACTTCTAAGGGAAGTCATAAGTTCGGAGGAAATAGAGGCTCCAACATTTGGTGATAAAATCCTTCCATCCCTTCAAAGTGTTGAGCTAGATGACTGCCCTGAATTGAAGGTGTTCATATCAGGAGGAAAGCATAACGATGAATTTCTCAAGTTGTCATCTTTTCATCAACTTCAAATTAAAGATTGTCCAAAAATGGTTTCTTTCTCATTTGAACCTTCTTTCAAGACTCCCAAATTAAATAAAGTAATACTTGATTCAAGCGAGTTTTCCAAGGATGAGATTAAAGACGACATTTATTCCTTTCTTCAAAGTCACAACAAGCCCAAGGTAATCTACTCTGCTCACCTTGGATGGAGTGATATTTTTGGGGTCTAAAATAAGAGGTTTTATAATTTTTGTTTTCGTAGTTTTTTGCCTTTCATTACTAAATCAATCTAATTTAATCTTTATTACTATGATTTAGACCCATGTGAAGTTTACTATAATTAACCAATCTAGAGTATATAATTAACCAACAATTCTAATTAAAAGAAAAGTGCGTGCATTCAATTCCTATGATTTAGACCCATGTGAAGTTTGATTGAAAAATTTAGTTCATTGATAATCTAGATGACTTTTGAGCCCAAAAAAGATATACGAAGTAGTTAATTATATAGTATGTTGGTTTATAGCATATTCATAATTATTAAAGATGCACTCAACTCAAAATCGTGCAAATTGGAGATCAGAGATATTAGTATTATGTTGGAAATTTTGCCAATTGCATCACAAAATGCAGGATGTCATTAATCTTGGGCAATTTAGCTGATAAATTAAAATGGGTGTCAATTAATAAGTTAAATACTACTTTTTAGGTATAATTGGCATTTTTTAATAAAGTTTGCAACAAATAAAAGCATTAATTAACACCTTGCATTAGTTACATATATCTTTTCACTATCTATGTTTACACATTTTTATCCATTATTTTTTATCCCATCCGATCCAATTCAAGTCGATATAAAATTCAGTTTACTGTTTTGTTTTATTTGGAACATAAATGACCATAGATTTGATTTCATTTCACTCCAATTTCTACTACTCATACGACATACATATATTGTGTACGAATCTACAATAGTAATGAAGTATAGAACAATACCCTTATAGTAAGAGACGTATAAATAACAATAATCCTTATAATTGTGTCTATTTATTAAATTGTTCCTGCAATGAGCAATACTCTAAAATAAAATATTGTTTTGAAACATACATGTTGGATTTTAAGTGTTACATACATTGTTCATGCAGTGAAGACACTGTCGAAGAAAAGAGTAGAGGAGTAGCAGTGATACAAGCAGAAATGACTAAATGAGAACCAAGAGATTACTCAGCTCCAGTACAGTTCAAGTTTCAAATTTCATTGATCGTAGAAAACTTTCGCTTGATATGGTTGCCAAGGAACCAAATTCCTCAGCTCCTTTGTATAATGAACATACAATAATCTGTTCTAGACTTCTAGCTAGGGAATTGAAGTGTTGCATGCATGTATTATTTGACTATTGTTATGTTTTATACTTTGTATATATTATGTAAATCTTAATCTGTATGTAATAAGAAAATGAATTGTTGCTTGGACATATTAAGAATAAGGTTATTAGATAGTTATCAGTGTGATCTTAAAATCTTAGCTATGTCAATTACAAATCTATTGAGCCATCAACATTGTCTTTATTTCACTATATGACTTGGTCTTGAATAATTATTCGTGTTATAATGTGAGCTTGGATTCATTTGTAAGTTGAGCTCATATAACAATTTATTACTCCATATTTTGTTTTCCAAAAGTCAAGAATTGAAATGGAAATTAATTGTTGCTATTAGTTTGCACAAAGAACTGTGCTTAGAATGATGAAGTAGTAGTAGAGAAATAAGATAGAAAAACATACCTTTCCATTAAACTAAGTTTGATGCTGTCCTTTTACATTGTTGTTGGTGCTGGTGAAACAATCTATTTTACCCAATACACTTTCTAGACTTAAGAGTTAAGACTTTTGAGATTCGTAAGATTAATCAGAGTTAAACGATGAAATTTAATAGGTTTATTGTTAACTTGGTCATCAGCATTGATGCGGATCAAAGCATCAAGAATTTAGGAGTCTAGATTTATTTTCTTTAGGATTTATTTTATTGTATTCATATGATTTATTTAGGATAAAAATGAGGAAGAATTACCTTTTTATAAGATATAATTAGTGTTTGTTAGGATTTTATTTTATCTTTTAGGTTTGTTTATCCTTTCAGGCATGGGATTGTATGCCTATAAATATTTATTTTTATTAATGAGAATTTAGAGTGATTGAGTTTATGAAAACATGAAAATTGTGAGTTAGTTCGAGTGAATCGAATTGATTTCAAAACGTTGCTTTTCTTTCAAAAAGATCAAAATTTACATTGCTTTTCTTCTCGTTAAAGACGAAAAGATCAAAAACTTATTGAATTAGGTTTAACCCTAATTGCTAGTATCCCTTATTGTGGTTTAACCTACATCAAATTGGTATCAAGAGCCAAAGGTTTGAAGAGCTTTTCAGTTCATCAAGATCTTGGTAGTCCTTTATTTTCGTCAGCTTTGAACCGTTTTGAGGGTCAGATTCAAGTGGTTATATCTCCTTCATTACAAAAGCTTTTTCAACGATTCTTTTTTTGAATCTGGGTGTTTTTTTGTCTAGTTTCCACATACAAAATTTCAAAAAATTTCGAGAATTTATGCTATTTAACTGGGTCAGTTTCTGCCAACGAGTCAGTTTTGAGTCGGGTTGGTGATTGATTGTTGTTGACTTATCTTTGTTAATGCAATTTTGTTGTTCAATATGGGCGACCAAATTGAACCTATTATTATACTTATGGATAGAATGTTGGAAATGAATCAACAATTGCATCAAGCTACACAAAAATGCCTAGAAATTTTGGTTGAGATGCAAGAGTATGAAAGAACAAAAGCACATGATGAGATGGAAATGGTTGACTCTAATTCTATGAACAAGGTTGATAATATTTCAAATCTGGTTGTGCAAGATGAAGAAGAAGTCGAGGTGCTAGATGATGAATTAGATTTAGCTTTGTCTTATCCATTAATTGATGCAACCCAAGCAATTAATCAAGAAGAAAAGAAGATATGAGCTATACAACATATTTCTATGCGAAAATTAGACTTGTTTATTTGTTCATGATATATCTTTTCCTAATTATTTTAATTGTTTGCATATGGAAGCAACCACACTGAAAAGTGGGTGGAATTGGTGGTAAAATCAAAAGAGGTGGAAACAATGATGTTAAGAGAGAGAATATATTTTCATATTCTGTTTGTTTGATTTGGATGATTTCTTGGTTCGAGAAAACTTGGGACAAGTTTTTTTTAAGAGGGGGAGAATGATGCGGATCAAGCATCAAGAATTTAGGAGTCTAGATATATTTTCTTTAGGATTTATTTTATTGTATTCATATGATTTATTTAGGATAAAGATTAGGAAGAATGATCTTTTTATAAGATATAATTAGAGTTTGTTAGGATTTTATTTTATCTTTTAGGTTTGTTTATCCTATCAGGCATGAGATTGTATGCCTATAAATATTTGTTTTATTAATGGAATTTAGAGTGATTGAGTTTATGAAAACATGAAAATTGTGAGTTAGTTCGAGTGAATCGAATTGATTTCATAACGTTGCTTTTCTTTCGAAAACATCAAAATTTACGTACATTGCTTTTCTTCTTGTTAAAGTCGAAAAGATCAAAAACTTATTTAATTAGGTTTAACCCTTATTTCTAGTATCTCTTATTGTGGTTTAACCCACATCAAGCATACTTCAAGAAAAGGAATTTTAATTTATCACAACCTGACATTCTTAATTCAATCAAATTGAGTGGATGTACTGAAACGAGTAGATGAAATAGGCTGTATCTCTAAGAATTTGACAAAAACAATTGGACCATGGACCCTACTCAGTTGGTCAACCCATTACCTAATAGCCTATATTTCTCGTCCCCTCCTTCAAAAATCTGACCTTGCGCGGAAAAAAAAAATAATCACACACGGATCACGTGCATAATAGGCTAGTAAATACATTAATGAAGAGATATAGTTAATGTTCAAATGTACTACCTTCATTCTTTAATTTTCTACCCACTTACTGTAGATAAATTTTAGAGATTGTTGAAGGTGGGTAGAAAAAGGTGGGTTTGTGTAAGAAAAAGGTGAATAAAATAGGAGAGATGTTTTAATTTCAAAAAAAAAATATAAAAAATAAAAAAAAGAGATAGATAGTATGGAAATATGTAATTATTGTGAGAATAGAGGGGTAAGATAGTAAAAAGTGTATACAATCTATCTATAAATATTACTAAAATAACAACCGCTGATGTCATTATTGTTCATGTGTCACTTTCTTATTAAATTTTTTCCCACCTAAATGAAAAAATGGTTTCAATTTTTTTTTTCTTTTTTTGAGCTACCCTATTTAACATTGCATTGAAAATTTTAATGCTTCTAGCGTACAAATATCACTTTATCATCTTAACCTTGGAAATTGAAACAATTTTGAGTGTCACAATAACCCCTACTCCCATCTTTCCCACTATCGCTTCATCTTCTCCCTTGATTGAACAACAAAGATTTTCATTCTCTCATCTTCTTAAATTTTACTTTGTACTTTAAATCTGCTCCATTTACTTAATTCTAAGCCTTTTTTTAAAAATCATTTTCCCTTTTGTGTACAATTCATTTCTTATGATAAAATCGTGCATCGCACGGGGCTAACCTAGTAATTAAATAAAATAAAGCAAAGTGGGTAGAGTTTAAAAAATGGTTTAAATAAAAAAAATGGATAGAATTGACAAAATAAACGAAGAAAGTATGTATTAAGATTGTGCGTAAAGTCTTCTTTCAAAAATAAAAAAATATTGTGCATAAAGTCAAATGTGACGATAAACAAAAATGTACGTATAATTAAAATACTTTTCAATTATCGAAAATGTATATTGAAAACCAAAAGAAAAAATAACATAATTTTTTGTATGCGGCCTACTGTACCGTGCGGCAGGGGTTACTTGAGTTATTCGGTCAGGGGTTACTCGAGTTGCCAGGGTTATTCGAGTTTCTCGGTCAGGGGTTACTCGAGTTGTCGGGGTTACTCGAGTTGCCGGGGTTACTCGAGTTACAACTACTAGAAAACAGGCAAATTCCGACGGACTGATTCCGACGGACACATTATTTCGTCAGAAAAATCGAAATTTTCGACGGATTTTTATTCCATCGGATTTTTCCGACGAATTCAACAATTCCGTCGGAATATATATACTTTCCGACGGATTTTTCCATCGGAAATTACCTTTTCCGACAAAATTCCGTCGGAATATAATTAAAAAAAAAAAGAAAAAACATAAACATCTAGAAAACCCTAACACGTACAACTCCCCTATTCTATTTTGCGCCTCTTCTCCCTCTTTCTCCTTCTCCTTCTCTCTGTCTTTCCCTCTTCTTTCTCCTCTCCTTCTCTCTCGTTCTCCTTCTCTCTCCTCTTCTTTTCTCTCGTTCTTCTTCTCTTTCTATCCTCTTCTTTCCCCTCTGATGGCGCCACATCATCTGCCTAGTCATGATGACACGTGACGGACTCATATCTTCCCATTGAGTATATATATATATATATATATATATATATATATATATATATATATATTCTTCGGTTATTTTATACAAGTATTTCTAATGTGAGCTTATTAGTCAAACACTAAAACAACCAAATAAATTACTTTTATTTTCACATTGGTTCCCAACCTTTGAAAATGAAATATGAGAATTTAACCGCCATTCCTTACAACATCAGTGCCCTATGCAATGGCTACAATAATATTATTGTAGCCATTGTAATCTTTAAATCTGAGCCTTTAAATTTCTGTATTAAATCCTAACTATTTATAGAGTTGGCTAAATAATTAATACATTAGAATGATAATATTCATATACAATAAGTAAAATTATTTCTATTTGAACAAAATTAGTAATAATAATTGATTGTTTACTTCAAAAAAAAAAGCCTTAAAGTTTAATTCCCATTTCCCAAACCTTAATTCCATTAATTTTCGTTTGATTCCGAATTTCGACATTTATAATATTGGTGTTAGGGTGATATTAGTTTTTTTGCGGGAAAGAAGATACGGAATAGTTAATTGTGGAGGAAAATATCTAATGTTCCTATCTTGATGATGACAATACAAATTTATTTTATTTATTTTTTTGTTTTTTTTTTTTTGAAGAATGACAGTACAAAGTTGGAAAATGCTATACATAACCCTAAGGGCTATAATATATATATATTTAAGGAGCTAAAAATGGAAAAAAAAAGCAAATGAAAATATAACATTAATTACACTGATTTGCGTGTGATTTTGTCATGTATTCCTAAATTAGTACCAAATAAGGAAAGTTATTAAATGCTTATTCATAACCCTAAAGGCTACATATAACATTACCCCTTTTTTATTCAAATTTTATAGTCAAACAAACAAATGATCAAGATTTATTCTTATATTTTAATGGTTGAGATTGAAAACAATTTCAATGACTATATATTCCGTGTTTCATAATTCAAATTTTATAAGAAAAATAGTTTTAAATTATTTCTGTAAAAGATTTAAATAAATGGTTAAACTTCCAACACATTTGTAGTACGAGTAATAACAAGCGAGTATTATAAACTCTTCTCTTAACCTATTTTATTGTAAAATCATGTTAATATAAGTTATTTTTCATTCCCATAGTTTTTAAGGGTACGTATTTGTTAAAATCATCAAACAATTATTTATAACGTCATGATGTTGAAAATTTTATTTCTCACTAGAAATAATATTACAAAATGTAACTCGGGCATCGCCCCGAGATACTCACTGGCTAGTATCTCATTTAAACTCAATGGCAATACTTGTCATGATGTCAGCATGTGTCAATGGCAATATATGTCATTGCAATGTGTCACCTTCTCTTAACCAATGACATGACGCCAAGTCAAATGTATTATCACATCTATCTATCTATGCTATTCCTAAAACCCAAAGCAACCAATTACAATTTAAGTTAAAGCTATCAATAAATAAGAAGTTTAAGATGAGAGAAACGTTCTAGTTTTACAAATATATATACACACACTGACACACCACATCATGATTTATGGCCTTTTTAATTCCCATTTTCAATAGTCAATTGGTCATAACTATTGATTAAAATATCATTACAGTTTTGTAATACTCGGTAACTAATATGTAACTGATTTTTAATATGGTTGTGAAAACCACAATCACTATTTGTAACACTAGTACATCATAATTATTCATTATGATATGAAAAAAATTTCTATCCTCTCAAACACATAGAGTCCAAATAATACATGCAAATATGAAGGGTCAATCCAATAAACTTAAACCTACATATTATAAAACCTTGTACGATCATCTAAATCATTACTTAATGTGAATCTTTGCAAACTATTTATAATATATCATAATTTGTTCTAACATAAATTTTTATATGTGGCTAGATGGCCACACGGTGTGGTCAATCATCATAGGAGTTACTTCGTTAATGTAATAGGGGTTACTTGCATTGGTCAGTGTTAAAGGGGTTACTTCGTCAGTGTTATAAAGTTATTCGGTCAATATTATTGGAATTACTCAGTTAGTATTACAAAGGTTACTTGGTCAGTGTTATTGGGGTTACTTTGTTCTTTTATGAGTGGCCAATCATACACAAGACGGAATGTTGTATCATATATTCTGCGTATGTATTACTGTACTATATAATACTACACATTATGTTGTCGGGCGTATAATATAACAATTGCTTCACTTGGATCATTCAGAGACATAAAAGAAGCTGAATAGCAAGCGTAAAATTACGCAAAAAAAAATGTCACAGTCGATAACCTGCTCAAAAATGACATCGATGCAAGCCAAAATTAGAGCAAAGATAGCGCTGATGACATGTGAAAAGTATGAGACCATCCGTCGCTATGACGAAAACATGAAGAAGCTAAAAGAAGAATTAATTCAACTAAATAGACGTAATGACAACATTAACTATATTTTAGAGTATTTTAGAGGTGAAACAAGAATGCCGTCGGATTATACTATAAAATGGCTTAAAGATGTTAAAGATCTGCTGGAAAATGACGAAGAGCTGATGAAATTGATGAAGGAGATAGATGATGAAGATCAGGAAAGCAGCAGAAATCGGCAATCAAATGATCACTGCTTTGGCGATGGCGGCCGTGTCTGCAGTTTGAAACAACGGTATGAAGCTAGCCTTAAAGCTAAGGAGATGGCCGCTAGAGTTGAGCCAACGGTGAAGAATTTTCCCGGCCAAGATGTTAGTACACGCATCTTTCGACCTCTATATATTAAAGAGATTGAAGAAAAGGGATATAAAGAGTATCCAGTGAAGAAGTTGGATTTCAGAAATGAAAATCTTGTACAAGTAGTGAGCAAGTTAAAAGAAGTTCAGATTGATGCTATTGGCATGTTTGGCGACGACGGTGTGGGTAAGTACTTACTACTTAGTAATGTAGCAAAAAAACACACAAATAATAAGAACGCTATTATGGTATAATAATGTTTAAAGTTTGGTGTCCTTTTTTGTCATATAATTTATAATTTGTTATATTTTTTTGGGTTTTTCTAAGCTATGCCCCTATGATTATTGAATTTCTAAGGTGTGCCCATGCTTTTTCAAAATTACAAGATGTACCCTCCAACTTTAGGTGTTTATTCAACCGTACCCTATAACGTTAATCCAACGTTAGTAGTTGTGTTAACAGTTTATTACCACACTTTGGAGAGAAATTTCACGCCCAAATTGGGTTAGAGTTATATAAGTAGGTTAACATTTAGCATTTTTTTCAAATTTTCTCATCTATTTTTACTTGTTTTTTTCTAAAAGCAACCATTGATATGTCAAGCTTTCGGTGTATTTCTTATTCTTTTTTCTCATCCGCTTCTTATTACTTCCTATTTGTTTACAATTGTTAACGTCGAGTTTATGTCAGAGGGTATGGTTGATTAAACAACTTAAGTTGGAGGGCACAACTTGTAATTTTGAAAAAATATGGGCACACCATAGAAACTCGACAACCTTGAGGGCATAGCTTAGAAAAACCTTATTTTTTTTTTCTATCACAACTTTTGACTTTTAGAATTTTTATACACGTTGTCATCACTAAGAAGAGGAAATATTTATATAGCCATATCAATTGAAAATGATTAAAAGATGAAAAGCAAACTTGAGTCTTAAGTGTAGTAATTCAATCGTCTCAATTATCTAATATAATAATTAACATGAACTTCTCTTAGGTACATAGGGAAAAATAAAAATCACTTCTTCCATTTCTTTTTATGTTTCAACTTTATTCTAAACATTGGACTTGTCAGTTGTCAATATACTTCGTATTATTTAACCAGCAAAATGTTAAATATCAATTAGTGAAAATTATAAAAGCTTACTATTATAATAGTATTTATTAGATGAATTTAACAAAACTTCACTTACATATATATTATAAAAATTTATGTATATTTAGTATGAATCAGATCATTAAATACAATCAAATGAATAATATATGTCAAACAACGTGAGAGTCAAGACGGGTCAAATAAAAAACAAAGGAAATGATTGTTAGAAGTTTAGAACTGAAAATACTAATATAATTGTTCAAGTGTTAAATAATATGTGTATGTGACAGGTAAGACAACATTGGCAAAAGAAATTGCCAACAAAGGAGCAAATGGTATGTTGTTTGAAAAAATTGTGATGGTTGAGGTTTCAAGAACCCCCAATGTGGAACACATTCAAGATCAAATTGCAGAGCAACTTAATCTGAAATTAAGCAGTTTGCATAGTACAGAGCAGAGGGCAGAGGATCTGCTCATCAGTCTGAAGAAAATTACTAAGATACTCTTTATATTGGATAACCTCTGTGAGAAAATTGATCTAGGAAAAGTTGGGATACCTCAACCTTATCATAAAACAACACAACAATTTTGCTGCAAGATGTTGGTGATAAGCACAAAGAGGAATGTGTGTGAAGATATGGGAGTACCAATGGATAACGGAGGTGTGCCCATTAGATGAAAATGAAGCGAGGAAACTTTTCAGGGAACGAGTTGTAGTTAATGTCAATGATGGACTAAAAGAACAAGAAGAGGCGGCGGAGAAGAGAATGTTGAACGAGTGTGGAGGACTGCCCCTTGCTATTGTGGCATTAGCTTATGTGCTTAAGGGTCAAGAGTTGTCAACTTGGGAACATTTTGCTACTGAATTGGAAAAACCCATTTCAATTAGTCAAGCCAAAATTAGTGGTGTGAATCCTCAAACATACTCGATTCTACAAACAAGCTACAAGTTTATGGAAAGTGAAGAGAAAAGGAAATTCTTCTTGCTTGCTTGTTTGTTTCCTTCGGGTGCAAGTATACCTGTTGAAGAAATGATGAGATATGGCATCGGATTAGGGTTGTTTCAACAAGTGGACAACCTAATTGAAGCCATGGAACTAGCCAACAAATGGGTTGATGAACTCAAATCATCAGCTTTATTGTTAGAAGACCATCGCCAAGGTTATGCAAAAATTCATGATTTGGTTCGGACATCTACGATATCTCTGGCAGAAAAAGGTATGTATGTTGTCATTCCTTTCAATTTTAGTTTTATTCCATGTACCTGTACTTGAAGAGTCCACACAATATGTATGTGAATGTAAATCATCATAAAATAATGCAGATGGAGACAAGGTTATGGTGGAAGCCTTTCCTGAATGGCCATCGTTGGAGACTTTCCAAGAGTTTTATGCCGTATCTCTCATGTCAGGCATTGATCATTCTCGAATGAATGATCTCAACTCCGACAAGCTTCAAATATTGATATTAGACAAGAGCATACCTCGAGGTCAATTTTCTGATAGTTTCTTTGATGGGATGTTAAATCTAAAGGTTTTAGTGCTAAAAGGAATGGACTTTACACTGGGGTTGCCAAATTCCATTAGAAAATTAAAGAAGAATCTTAGAACGTTGCTCTTGGAGAAATGTAAGTTGGGAGATATTACTGGAATTGATGAGTTGACAAACCTCGTTGTTCTTAGTTTGCGTGAATCAAGTATGGAGGAATTACCGGAGGCAATAGGTAATCTTTGCAATCTTCGTTTGTTGGATTTGAATGGGTGCGCGATTAGCAAGAAAGGGATATCAGCTAATGTTGTCGTCCTATCTAAACTGTCTAAGTTGGAAGGACTTTACGCTCTTAGTAATGGCTTGGTATTTGATTATGAAGAGGGTGAAAATAGAAGTGAATTTGCAATTGATGAGTTGGATGAAGTGCAAGTAACATTTGAAGATTGTCCTATTAACAATGAACTCGAGTTTGTCAAAAAACTGGATCAATTTCAAATATGTGTTGGAAGGAGGACTAGCTCTGATTCAAGTATGTACTCTCAATCCCGTGCTTTGCTGCTCAGCCACATAAAAAATCCGAACTCAGTTGCAATATATAAGAGTGTGAGGGTATTGCGAGAGAAAATTCAAGTGTTAATCGTAAAATTTATGTGGGAGCTCCAACATGTATTTGATGATCACATCCACCAACAAGAAGACGAACCAAAGATGCAAAGCTCAATTCTTACATTTCCGCATTTGCAACATTTGATGGTTAGGCTATGCCCGAAGATGCAATCTATCTCATCAATCCCTTTCGTGGCACCCGAATTGGCTGAGGTAACTGTGTCATCTTGTGATAGTATGAGATTCATTTTTATGGAGCATGAACGTCAAGAGAATGAAGATGAGGATGTATTTATTAAAAGATTTTCTAGTTTAAAGAGGATGAGCCTAGAATATCTTTCGAAATTGGAAAGTCTTACAGTATAACTAAACGTTCCACCACGGCTAGTTATAATCTTGAGGCTCAACGTCAAATTCTTTTCAATAAGAAGGTATGTAGATATATGCAAGCATGCATGCTTTTAAGTCTTACTCTAATTTGACGAGCAACTTAAGATAATTCATATATCTTCAAAAAAAAAAAAAAAAAAATCAATTTGTTTTTAATATGAAGTAAATGTTATGTTGACATGCAGATGATATTCCCATCGTTGGAGCAATTGGTCTTGTACTGTTGTGGCAGAATTGTAACGCTATTCGATGTAAGTTGTACGTGGAAAAATATTTATCGTTCCAGCTTTAAGAATTTGCACAAGTTAGAAATTACAAGATGTGACAAACTTGAAACATTGGGTTCGCTATCAATAGCAACGGCACTTGTGCAACTCAAACAATTGTCCATAGATAGGTGTCCACAACTAAGGGAAGTTATAAGTCACGAGGAAGACGAGGAAATAAGGGGTCTCACATTTGGTTATGAATTTCTTCCATTGCTTGAAAGTGTTAGACTTAAAGACTGCCCTAAGTTGAAGATGTTTATATCAGGAGCAAAGCTTAAGGATAAATTTCCTATATTGTTGTTGTTGACTTTGCAAAAATTGGACATTAGCAAATGTCCTGAGATGAAGTTTTTCTCACTTGGCCCTTCTTTCAAAGCACCCAAATTAAATCATATTGATTTTGATTATGTGGCTACTCCCATGGACAACGAGACTAAAGAAATTAATTTCTTATTCGAGTCCTAAATCGTCCTACCTCAAACCCAAGGTATGTTTCTCTAAGCATAATCTCCAACTTTTTCCCAACATTTCTGAATTTTTAAATGATTAATTAGCTTGTTTTGTATTGGTATTATGTATTTTCTAAAATTCTACGGCCAATTATCACGCAATAAAATGAGAAGTCAATTGAATTTGCCTTGCTAAAAGTCTATGTTGGTCAAAATTAAAAGTGTGTCTGTCAAATTAAGGCCGAGGGATGCTTTGTTTTGTGGTAATTATAGAACCACATGAATTTCAATTGAGTGTCAAATTCTTGACTTAGAAAGTAATTAAGGAGTAAGTTGACAACCAAAGTCGTGCATTGGAGATCACATATATATAAAACAAATAATGTAATAGCTAATCAATATCACACTTGTTAAAAATTGGGTAGTACTTTTAAAATTTTAACATAGTAACTCTAAATGATGTTTGATAACGTATATATGAGATCTATTTGATTCACATAATAATTGGGCATTCTTTTTGGATTTTAAGTGGTACACTGCAGTGAAGACATCGTCAAAGAAAGGAGCAGAGGATTAGCAGCTATATCAACTTGAATAAGATCGGAATCAGACCAGAGTTTAGTCCGTACAAGTTTCAAATGACATTGTATACTAAATCATACGAGTATATATTACCTCCGTCAATTGTAATGTATAAGTTTGGGGTATTATTTGTGAAGCATAAAAAATTCAAAAGTTGCACATAATATTAATGGGGTAGTACAAGTATTTGTCAAAAATAACCAATCCTTTGTACATTGAACATAATCATACAATAATCTGTTCTAGGAAAATGCATGCATTAATACTGTTTTATACTACTGTACGTACTTGTATATCTTAAGATTTGTAATAAGCCAACAATGGATTGTTGGACAATTCGGAATAAAATTAGTCAATTATGAGTGTGATCTTAAATACTATTGCCATAAGTGAATAAGTCCTATAACCTCTGTACAAATTAAAATTAAAAAAATAAAAATGTTCCTAGCTAAGAATATGTTGCATTGGCAAAAAAAAAACTACAGTAGTTATTATTTCGAAACAATTTGATCCCATTTAATGGGCTAGCCCATAACCCAATAGCCTATCATTACCCAAACGGCCAAACCACATTAACCCAATAACCACCACAAACTTGAGCCAAACAACCCGCATATACTAGTGTAATACTTGTATGAAATATGAAGTATACTGTAATAAGCTCAATCTTGGGGAAACAAATCCTAGCTAGTATAACAATCACCAAGTTAAACTTAGCCCAGTAATAATTATTGTACTCGTACCTTTTTACCAAGAAATTAGGGGTTCAATCTTCACAAGCCATACTTTGAACATTGAAGGCAACGATTCTTAATTCTTTACCCTTCCCCCTTCATTTTCACCGTGTCTAACTTGTTAAGACACTAAATTAAACTGAATTTACCCAAGTGGGAATTCAACCTAATGGGATAGTTCTCTTTATTCAAAAAAGCAAAAATATTCATTTTTATCAATCATTCAAATTTTGATAGAGGTTATTTGATTTAGTTAGTGAAAGGTAACTGTTTTAAGACATGAGATCCTTAGATCAAATTTCATTCAAAACATGAGATTACTTAAGAGTGCCTTGATAACGAAAATCTTTGTCATTCACATGGTTGAAGCTTGCAAGGATATAACCAAAACTTTTTTTCATTTATTTGGTTCATAATACACCTTGTTCACTTGTTGTAGCTTGTAGTTTGTAAAACAAAGAATTCGAGTAAAATCAAGACTTCTTTTTTTTTCACAAGTATTAAAAATCCAGTTGCTCATATTTGTCACTCCACCATCTACTCTACATTTGTTAATACAAATAAAAAAAAAAATTATAAAATGGTTTGGACTATGACATTTAAAATCCAAGTCAAAGTAGCAAAAGTTGAATGTTATAAAATAATACACGTATGCGTATTATGTTTTTAAAAGTTTGTCCTATTTAAATAACAATTGTCTACCTTATATTTATAGAAAGGTTAACACGGACAAGAAGTACCTAATTGTTAACCTTAGGTATTAAGTGCTAGATTAAAACAAAAAGTAACTGTAAATACAAGTTCAACAACAACGCCTAATTAATTCAAGAAACATCTTTCAATCGTCAACAATTTGTTACTTTGCTGTTAAAAATGTCCCTTCTTTTCAGTTTCTCTCTCCTGTTTTTCAGATCAGATGCTCTGTTTAGATTTGCCCATTCTCGCATTCAAACAAAACCTCAATCTTCTGCTTCTGTGGATCCCACCCCATTTCCCCCATTCACAAACTCTTATCATCTTTGTTCAATTATTATTCTCACCCTTCATTTTCATTCACCTCATCAATTCCCACAAAAATAAAAATCATTAATTAATACAGATTTTTGTCGCCGGCGAAAACCCATTTTCCGGTGACAAAACCCAACTTCGATTTATCATATATTTTTGTTTGAAGCTTAGAAACATAAAAGATGCAGAATCTTCGCCGGAGAAAGCCCGACAGGCCCGACGAAGTGACCCGGGCCGAGAAAAGCCGAGGAGAGAGAAAGGATAATGACGGAGAGGATGGTGGTAAGAAGAAAGGGAATGGGAAGAGATGGTCGTGTATAGATAATTGTTGTTGGTTGATTGGATTGATATGTTCAATATGGTGGTTGTTGCTGTTTTTATACAAAGCAATGCCATCTTCTCTGCCTCAGTATGTTACTGAGGCGATAACGGGGCCGTTGCCGGATCCACCGGGGGAGAAGCTAAGGAAAGAAGGTTTGAATGCGAAGCACCCGGTGATTTTTGTGCCGGGGATTGTGACTGCCGGACTTGAGCTTTGGGAAGGGAAGCCTTGTGCTGAGGACTTGTTTAGGAAGAGGCTTTGGGGTGGCACCTTTGGTGAAGTTTATAAGAGGTACATATTTTACCCATTGGTTAGTTTCTATTCTTGGCTGTTTAAATTGTTGCTTACAAATGTATTGGGAAGGTAACTTGTTTGATTATTTATGTTTTAGTAAGAGTTGAGGAATGAAATGGTTTAAAGCTAATTGATGACAAATATGAATGTAATTATCTATAATACCAAAAGTTCAAGAAAAGATTGATCCAAGTGTTTGTCATAAGACGTATACTCTCTATTCCTTTTTGTCGAGTTACTTTGTTTAAGGCTTAGGCAAGATAAATTGTACATGGGTTGGTTTTTAAGTGGGGACGGAGGGAGTACACTTAAAGTGCGGAGGGAGTACACTTCAAGTCTTAATTGGTCTACTTGGGTTTATGTATTTGACTTGGTTTGTTGAAGAATTAATCCTACCTTTTGTGGTCTACAACTCTACATGGGTCATGACCTCATGGGTGCATATTGCATTGTTGTTGTAATCATATAATTATTATTGTCTTAAATCATTAATTAAATTGCAATTGCTATGACAACTCTTTGTATGGATTGAAGCCATCCAAGTCTATTCTCATTAGAGTAGGCAAATATGCCTAAAATGATTTAGCGCAACACAATGCATGGATTTCGGGGTCCACACGTGCCTCTTTTTCTTCGAAAATTATCCAACATTTTACTTGCACTCTGTATTGATGTTAATATGATGTTATCAATTGTCAAAAATGAAACATAGAAGGTGCGGTCTATCTTTTGTGTTAGTGGCTAACATATTGAGTGACACACTTGATGACTTGATTGAGGTTTATGTAATAATGAACATAACTTAAACCCTCCCAATTATAACTATACTTGTTCTTTGACATCAGCTGATGAGTACTCTCGAAATGCTCTTTTAAGTAATTATCTTTTCATATTTTGAACAATGACTGTAACATCAAATTGTTGTTGAATTGGATTTACCTACCTTGATGCTGCTACAAACAACTCTACTCACATTAGAATATTTTATGGTTTTTGTTACTTGAAGCATAGATTTTGTGCATTGGTGAGGACTGTTGCTACTTGCTTCATCTTGTAATGCTTTCCATCCTGTACAGCAAGATCTTTCAGGTGCAAGAAATTATACTGGTTGATACTAGATTATTTTCATTTTGGCATAGTTTACAGATTATTGATTTGATTTTGGTTCTGAAATTAGATATTCTGTTTGAGAATGTTTTGCGTTAAGTTGAACAAGACTTGCCAATTAAAGATTATTTATATTGATTTTCTTGTCCCATCTTTTAACAGACCATTGTGCTGGGTTGAGCATATGTCACTCAACAATGAAACTGGACTTGACCCTATTGGTATAAGGGTTAGGTCTGTTCCTGGACTTGTTGCTGCTGATTATTTTGCTCCTGGATATTTTGTTTGGGCTGTCTTGATTGCCAATTTGGCACGTATAGGTTACGAGGAGAAAAATATGCATATGGCTTCATATGATTGGAGATTGTCTTTCCAACATACTGAGGTACATATTTGGCTCTGTATTTCATGTAATATTATAAACTTTTCATCTTTGTGTTCGCATAGTCTTCTTTATATGAGGTCTTTCCTTCATGTCCTCGCTATTTTGTGAGCAGGTGAGGGATCATACATTAAGTCGTATAAAAAGTACTATAGAGCTTATGGTAGCAACTAATGGTGGTAAGAAGGCAGTGATTGTTCCGCATTCAATGGGAGTTTTGTACTTTCTCCATTTTATGAAGTGGGTTGAAGCTCCAGCACCAATGGGAGGCGGTGGTGGTTCAGATTGGTGTGCGAAACACATAAAAGCTGTGATGAACATTGGTGGACCATTTCTTGGTGTTCCAAAGGCCGTTCCTGGACTTCTGTCTGCTGAAGCCAGGGACATTGCAGTTGCAAGGTATGCTTTTATATGTTGCTAACTCTTTTCATAACGAATTAAATCAGCCTTAGTATTGATTATGCTCAATTTGCTGCGGCCACTTAAATTGTTACCAGCTCACTTGTAAGATGGCCATTGTAGGCCTCAACTTTATGACTTGGCACAGTCTTTGCTAGTCCCAGCCTTGGACCCAATTAAATGGAGCT